AATTTGCAGTGTCTCTCAACTTCTATTGCAGTATTGGGTATACCAAACTACGGAACCTATAACATCAATGCCATTCACCTCGTATATTTCAAATACATGCAAAAGATTTTAGAAGGCAGGTAGACTAACAGTTTTTAACCCCATCTATAGCTTGCCTTCTACAAATTTAATACCCATTAGATGGTTTATAGGAACAGAGATGTACCTTCTAAATTGAAAATATAGTTTAAAAGAGCATCTATGGTGAGAGTGGGAAAAAAAAAAAAATTACAAAAAATGTATTTATTGACTGAATTTACAGTTCTTTTCCACTTCTAATAACCGTATGGATCTAGAAGTTTGTAAACTTGCTGACTGAAGATACTCATAAGATGTACTTCCTCAAATGTAATGACACAATTTCACTCAGCCCTGTGAATATGCACTTCCTGGTGTCACAACCCACAGATCCTGCCTTCTGAACTACAACTCAATGTCTGAACAATGCAACATCATTACTTGCTGGAAGCAATGCATGATGGGATATGTAGTCTTGAGATTGCATCTCTTTCCTGCTGCTTGATGTAATGCTAAGCACACAGAGTCCAGGAAGTTGTTGAAAGTGATGGGCAGATGGAAGGCAGCACTTGCAATTAAACCTTACTTGAAATAAATCTTTTATATAGTATTATCAAAAACAACCTCTAGTGTGTATTCCTATTACAATGCTAATGTTATAACAGGATAGTATATGCTGGGACTTTACAACTCCTTTAATGAATACAGTAAGCAGACAAAAAAAGACTGGTCAAATCCAGTAGAGACCAGGTTTATATTCAAAATGTGGAATCTTCTTTTTAACTTGTCGTGGGGTTCTACTGAGACATTGATTAACATAATAAAACAATACCATGTAATGTTTTAGATACTGCACATTAGATAAAAAAGGTCTTATTTTATTTTATAAGCCTACTCCTTTTAGATTTTTTTTTTAATCTAATCCTCCCAAGCTTTTAAAATGGCTTTAGTCTAAAATTAGGAGAAGGGGAAAAAAAAAAAAGAAAAACGGCTTCTCTAAATAAGTATTAGTCAGCTGAAGAACTAGCTCATGCAATGGACAGCTATAGTGCAACTTGCACATGATCTAAGATTACAGTCATATGACTGAATACTGAAGGATCAGCAAGAGCTCTGAAACTACACGTCAGCCCCAGGATTACAATTCAAAGACATTCAAGAGCAAAAGCCAACAAACACTTTTTAATACAAGGATGGGAAAATACCATTATATGTCAAAGGCATTTGAAAAAGAAAACAAAAAAGTAATGTGACCATATGTGAATTGTGTGTCGGATCACCAGGTATCAAACATTTAGTGCCCATTCACACTGAGCAGTTAATCGCGCGATTTCTGCCGCGATATACATCTATTAGGCTAATAAATGAAAAGAATTATGCAATGTGAATTGCATACCACAGTTCAAACCAGCCAACAAGATACCATGCAGTGTAAATTACATATCACTCAGTTCAAACTGGCCAAGAAATTACTATACCGTAAACAAAGTAAGAGATAATGAATTTGATGAAGGCTAGTAACCCTCACAGACGTTACAAGTCAGAATAAGCATAAAGCCCGTATTCAAATATCTTTCAAAGTAATTGCACAGGAAAAATTAGTCACAGGGTTTAATATAATGGCAAAGATTGTGTTCTACTCATTGTAGCCCAGTTGTAACCACTAAACTGACCCCTGTACATAAAAAGGAGAGCCTTATCCTATGTCAGGATCCACAGCAATAAATCAGCAAAGTGAGGTACCTTAAGAGCACTTAACTCACATGGGGCAGAAACAGCTCTGTGCACCAGCCCATGAGCCACTCACAATCTCCTCTCTTTTCCTACCAGTGCAGGGTCAACTCCTGCTTCACCTTTTCCCCAAGAGCTTCTTGGTCAACTCCAACTACTCCCATTTACTCTCTGCCATGATCAGTTAAAATGCTTTCCTACGACAGTTGCCGAACTGCCTCCACTCCCAATCTGGCTGTTCTAGCTACCCTGCCTTAATCTACAATCAGCTGCCGATCTGCCACTTCTTGATCATCTACCGCTCTTCCTCCTTTAACCCACCCTCCCCTCTTTGTTCCACCAGAATTTGCTGGTAAATATATTTTATTTATCCAAAATAGAGCTACAAGGCAATTAGCAATCCACCCCCACATCAAACATGTGTTTTACCCAAATGCTCGATTTTAATTGTGGAGACTTATAAGGGGAGGTATAAATATTTGATATGTTTACTTTGGCTGCACTACATTTCTATTAAATAAACCCGGTCATGGAAATATAATTTTTGTACTCACCGTAAAAACATTTTCTCTCCGTTCATTGAAGGACACAGGGCAACAGATCGTAGATCCTGTATGGTAGGGTATATCGCCACCTGCAGGAGAAGGATGCTAGGCACATAACAAAAAGACAAAGACAGCCTAGGGGCGGCCCAACCCCCCACCTGCCGACAAGTCTCCAGTTAGTAACAAGCAGTTAGGAGTGTACACCCAATAAAGAGGGCGGGACCTGTGTCCTTCAACGGAGAGAAAAAGGATTTTACGGTGAGTACAAAAATCCTACAGGTTCAGATCCCACGGTGCCAAAGGCGAGCGGACAGGAGGAGCAATACGCGCAACCCCCTGAACAAAAGTGCGAACTAAGGCATCAGACGCCAATGGCTGTTGGAAAAGCACAGTCAATGTAGAAATCCGGCCCTCCACCGTGCTCAAGGCCAACGCGTGAGCCACTCTGCGCTGCAGAAACACAAGAATTATGCTGATCGAGAACAAACTTGGAGACAGAGCCCCAGCCTCACACCAAGCAAAGTAGGCACTTCACGTGCAAAGGAATATTTTACCAGAGACAGCTTTGCGTGCCCTGAGAAACGTGGAAATGACCGCATCCGACAACCCCCGGCCCTCCAGGACCTGGCTCTCAACAGCCACACAGTCAAAGCCAGCGACTGTAAGAAGGGTGGAACACAGGCCCCTGGGACAGAAGATCCAGAGGCAGCCCCCACAGGGCCTCCACCACCAACCGAACCACGTCCGCGTACCATGCCCCCCCAAGGCCAATCTGGGGCCACGAGGATGACGGTGCCGCCTTTGGCCGCTATCCGGCGCAGAAGCCGCAGCAACAGGTATAGTGGAGGGAAGGCATAATCAGACCGTAAGGTCCCAGGGAGCCACCAGGGCATCCACCGCTGCCTCCCAAGGATCCTGAGCGAGGGCTATGAACCGTGCGACCTTCCAGTGGAGACGAAACGCCAGGAGGTCCACATCCGGCGTCCCCCAGCGCAGACAGAGCTGATGAAACACCTCCAGATGCAATGACCATTCCCCCGCATCCACCGATCGGCGACTGAAATAGTCAGCCCGCCAATCGTCCACCCCCGGAATGTATACTGCGGAAAGAGCCGAAACATGGTCCTTGCCACCTCCAGCGCAGCGGCTGCGCTCCTTGTGCCGCCTTGATGGTTTTTTTAAAAATATTTAATCTTTATTTGACGTAGGCACACTGAACGCGGACCGACAGGCCCCAAAGACGACTAGTCCAATGCTGGAAAGACAACCGAATCGCCTGAAGCTCCAGCACATCGATCGA